GCGCGGCTTTTGCCATTTTTGCGTAGGCGCACATTGACGCGGTGGCGGTGTTGTCGCCAAGTTTTCTGTTCGCACTGCCGTTGGACAAAGTGCAATCAGCTAAATGCCGCGTGCTGCTTAGGCTGCGGCAGGGACGATGGAAAGGCGCTGCAACAAAATAATTGTAATTGCATAAAATTTCATTTATTAATTAAAAATTTTCACAACTGACAATCCTATGAGAAATTATTGTTCCAATGGGCATTTTATTGCCATACCATGTCTTGCCATCTCATCGATCAGCTGAGGTTGATAGCAAAGTAATCTAAGGCCATGGAGGGAGAAGTCAGGTATTGTCGCATAGTTTTCGAACCTTTCATCAAAGAGGCAAAGCCCTGATCAGAATATCGCACACCTTCTTCAAAAGAGGCACAACTCAAAATTTGGCATTCTATAAATTATGCGCTAAAAATGTACACAAAGCTTTTATTTACCTTTCAGCAAAAGCTGGAGTCAAGGCACATTAAACAGGTAGTATCAGTAGAGCAAAAACAACATTTGCGTGTATTTTTTTGTTGCTTCTGGTATCGAAAGTGTCAAAAACTGTTCTGAATTTTTTCTTCTAAATAAAAGCGTGCCATGTGAAATACAAAAAATTATAAAAAATAAAAAATTGAAATTGGAAAAAATAAAAATTGATGCAACTTTCTTTCCTAGTAAATTTGTTTGCTTCTCGAAGCATTGATCCATCCTTTGCAAGGCCCAGTAATCAGCGGTCGTGCTGCTGAGTTGGGCGAACGTTCCAAAAGCTGCTATTCAATCGCTTGTTTTGTATGGAAAAAGGTTTCACATACAAATGGATTTTAACAATTCAGAATTTTTGTGAGAAAAAATTAAAAATATTTGACATTTTCGAGACCAAATAATTTGAAAATAAATCAAATCAGCTGCTCTACTGATACTACCTGTTCAATGTACCTTGGCTGCAACAAATTTTTGTTATAATTTGTCAAAAAAAAACCTAAGGTAAAGTCTCCCTTGGCCATAGGATTATCGTGTGCTAAGAAATAGTTTTTCGCATTTTCTTACAAACGTGTAATTTTTAGTTATGCTTTTCTGAAGACAATGTGCGATATGTACATATTACCTTTTGGCCGCAGCTCCACCCTCGCGAAGTTCGGTTTAACGTTATGATTGAAAATAAATTCTTTCAGCCGAAACTAATATATACATTTTATTAACAAAATTAACACAACAGGTCTCTTTTTGGTTTCCACATATCGGCATGGAACCACGCGATTTCCTTTCGCGGTCAGATGCTGATTTCTCTTACGGAAATTGGATTTCATGCCGGAGACCAGCACGAAACAAAAGTGATCCGATGTTAGCGCTCGCCTTGTTAGCGCTTATTTTGTCATTTGTGAAAAATATTTGTTTACATTCTTGTATTAAAATCAAAAAAAATTTCACTTCATTGAAACGTAAAAAATTACCGGAAATTAAAATATTTACGTTCGATTTGTATTTCCCTCAATCGATTCTTAAAATTACAATGCACCCTGTGTGATGGTGCTTTGACTTTCTTCACATAGGTTTGCGTCTTTAATATTCAAGCAGCATCCATCTTTTGCTTTGCTCAGCGCGTTCGTCAGCAACAGAGTTGTTATTGCGCGGCGCCGCAACGGCCGATTTCAAATGTCAACCAGGTGCAAAGTAGCAAAGCGAATAAAAACATTCAAAACGGCGACTGCGCCCGCGAATTTCAAGTTATTTGTGAGAAAAAGAGTGCGAAATCTGCAGAAGGATAATGTGAAAAGCGAAGTAATTTGCAAGGCAAAACACTGCGCAAGGATATAGAGAAATAAAATGCCTTACGGACATTGGGGATAACTGCTGTGTCCTGTTTAGTCAGTGGCAGTTTTCAGTGGATATTCGTTGTGTCTGGGCGGAGCGGGCCTTTGTAAAGCGTTTAAGTTGTAGTGGAAAATTGTTTTTAATATATTTATATTTCAATGGAATATTTAAAAAGTATGTAAATCTACAAATAAAGAAAAAGCAAGGTGATTACACCGCGAAAATTGCAGCAATAAAAATGAGATAGTAGTGCAGTGCACGAAGTGAATTACGGCTTGCTGGTTTGTTTGAATGACTGCCTGTCTGGCTGCCTGCCTACCTGGCTTGGTAGTCTACATGCTTATCTACCTAAACAATCTGATTCACACTTTTATCCTGTGGGAATAAAAGAAAATCTTCGCTGTGCGACGCTTTGAAAAACTATGCTGTATGCAAAACCGGAGCAGCAACCTCCATTGCTTGGGTAGAAAAATTCATGAAAAATCGATATTCGCAATAAAAACAAGACCAAGGGAGAAAAGGCAGCCGCACTCTGGGCAACGTACATACATACATACCTAGTTGTTTGCGCCTTTCCGATTGGATGAATGGACAAGCTTGCGGCGTTGCATAGGCAAATCCAGTAAGAATAAACAACTACATATGTATGTGCATGTGTATATCTAAAAGCATAAAAAAATATGCCAACTCCACCATAAAATTCAGTAATTCTTTGTCTGGTTTTTCGTTTGGCGGCCTGTGTCCTAAATTCTTTTGGTCGCGTGCTCAATTTTGTGTATTTTTGGAACTCCATACACTTAATACGTACATTTGTATGCCCATACATACATATGCGAAATAACCATTATACTAACTGCCATTGCTTGAAAGGAACTGTTAGCTAGGATTTGCAAACTGCGACACTCATACCTACCTACATACACTCTTGCCAAAAATTTAAAACTGCCTCCTAAATAGTACTTCTGTGTATGCCCACATTTTTGATTTAGATTTATTCTTTTCGTATGCTCCAAATGAGTCATGAGAGTTTTTGAATGCCTTAAAAAATAATTTTGTGAATAAAATTTAATGGCAAAACGAATAAACGAATATAAGTATATTTTAGTGTGTACTAAGAAAGTTTAACGTGGTTATTTTCGGTTAATATTGCATTCAAGTTAAAACTCACTAGCCGCCAGTATTCCATTCAACATGAAAACTCGTCTCGTTTCGTTAACCTACCGCGGCAGCGCTTCTGTAGATCCGCGCTATTCCGCTGCTATGCTGCCATGGACTATCAATGATATTCGCTCCACTGAGAGTTACTCGAAGGTAAGTGTTAAGTATGTGGTCATATGTATGTATGTATATATAAATCGTTATAATGTTTGAATTATTTAAATAATGGACCTTATGAATTAAAACTAAGCAATTGCTTTTTCTTAAAATTTCGGACCTTTAACTCGATTTACTCAAAAAAATTAAGTGAAATTTAATGTGTACTTTAAAACCAATACTCTGAGTCTATGTTACAAAACTATTTATGTTACTATTGTTGTTTTATGTTACTATTGCTATACCGACAGCAATTTAAATGTTTACAATTATTTATGTTTTGTTTTGGTTAACTATTGTACTTAATAACTCTATTATGTACAAAGCCGATTGGCGTTAATTAAAAAAAAAAACAAATAGCAAATATCAAGGAGTCTGAAATTTTAAGAAGAAGTAATTATTGCTCAGTTTAACTCCTTACCGGTTGAACCCGAAAGTCGGCAATACTACCAAAAGAAAGACCATCCTCGACTTGATAATTCATACACATTTTTTCGTTTTCCAATAAAAAACGTTCACTCATTTTAGAAGTCCAAAACGAGTAGAAGTTCGAAGCTAATTTAGAGGTTGAAAAAGGCACTCCCGAGAAAAAAGTTTCAAACAAAAGTTATGTATTTTTATCCCCAAAATTTGGGCCGCTAGTAGAATGTAAAGTTTAAGTCTAATATAAAAAAAAACGGACTTCCTGCCAGTTTAACCCACTTCCGGTTGAAACTGAAAGTCGGTAATACCACCAGAGGATAGAGCATCTCCAATTTGGTAGGTCATATTTTTACGTTTTGCAATAAAAAAAACATTTCCCTCCATTTTAAAGGAGGTGGACGGATGATTTAGAGCAGCCTGTATATATGTATGTACATATAAATTATACTACATTTTTTCCGTTTAGAGCTCATCGGTCTTGCATTATAATCCTCATTAACATAATTAGCTTTCGTAATATAAATTTTATTCATAAAGCATACAAATGTAAATAAACAATTAAAATCCATCAACAGCATTAGCATCCAATTAATGACCCAACCAAATCTAGGAATTCTTTCGCATTCATTGAGCTCCATGCAAACCACTTATCAAATATTCGAAACGAAAATTACTTTGTGGCCAGCACACCTTTTAATACAACGTTATCCAGAATAAAGCTATAAAATATGTACATATTTAGTTAAATGCCTCCTACACACCTACTAAGTACCCCCGTCATCAGCATTCATATTTACAAACGCCTGGCATTGACATCGTGCACACTGGGCATTTATCAAGTGGCAACAACTTTTCCTCTTGTCACAACTTACTCGCTCGGATAGAAGCGGAATAGGGAGGAAAGAGTCTAAAAGAGGAAAGTGAGTGTTGCAAAATAAATTAATAAATACACGCGCTACAGGATATAATCACTAGGCACCAACTCAATTTGCACTGTTGAGAAAATCTGTTGTCATTAGCTTGCTACAGAAGCAACAAAAAAAAAAAACAAAAACACTGATGGGCATAAAGGCGAACGGATGTTATAAATACTATAATTTTCTGATTTGTTTTTCGAACAAAGCAAGTTTTGCATTAATACGTTTGACGAGTGATTTACATAGATACATAGCAAATAGGAAGGAGGAGGCGTTGGCTTGAATTGGGGTTGTATCAGGATATGCGGTTGGTTAGTTGAAGCCCTAAAAATGTTGTGACTAAAGCGCATTAGGATTGCAAAATATATGTATGTATCTTCGTATGTACGTATGTTTGTGGTGTATATGTATACATAAGCAGGCTTGTTGTATTTTTCTGCAAGTTGCTTATCCCTCATTGCTCACAAGAACTTTCTTCGTCCCCTATCAACGTAGTAGTGTATTTCACCCTATCTATTTCATTAGAGGGAGAATATAATCCTCCCTACAGTTAGCAATAATAATTTCGAATTATTTATTTAACAATTTTTTCATAGTAACTATATTTTATAGGTCCGCAAAAACCACCATAAAATGTCACAAAATGCAAAAGGTTAAAAAATCTTTAGTATAAAAAAATGGTTAAGTAAACAATGGGGTATTGTTATTGGAAGTCTTCTGAAGAGAACAAAAGTTTTCCGATCGAAAAATATTGATATTCAAGAATTCTATACCATTTCTACGAAAAGTGGTTTTTTTCCATATAAAATTCATGGAAAAATTTGAGTGCTTTGAGCGACCTCTAAATGTTTTTTGATTTCAAAATAAAAAATAGGGGTATATTTTTTCGGTATAGAACAATCCTAGGGGTGAAAGCATAAAAATTCTGACTTTACTTTTTCACATGCATTTTTGGACCACCCTAACATACATACATTAGGATGGTCCCTAAAATGTCAACATCATGAGGCTTCCTTCCAGTTTGTTCTACGTGCAAAGTAAAGGCATCCGCGAAAATTTCAAAATTAAAAAAATAGGGTTCCCCCCTACCAGAGTTTGAAAAAATTGAATTTTTTTTAAATTGCAAAAATTCAAAAAATATTTGAATTCGGCTAGCGAGTTGGTGAGTTTAAATGGATAAGTTGCAATGATATTTAAAACTAATGATCCAAAAGCAAATTTTAGTCGAACATTTTAATTTTAAGATTTTTCAAACCTTGTTAGTGACCCCTTAAAATTTGTTAAAATTTTTTTTCCCGCTTCTTTATTTTGTACTTGTAATTTTTTTTTTTTAATATTTGAAGATTCTTTTATTGCATTTTAATCTGCTCTTTGTGGTTTTACTTAATATGCCTTTTTTATTTCCATTTTCCACTCTCTGTAGGTATCAATTCCATATACATACTACTTATTTATTGGCCTTACCCCACAATACTTATCACATTCTTCAAAGTCTTCTCGCTGAAATTTCAAAAGCACTTAGAATGTTGTACTCATTTGCATTTGTTTGCACATCCTTCATTTTGTTTGCCGCCTCTACTCTCAATATTTGCATTAGCATAGACATGCATAACTGGTGGTTGTCGCCATAAACCTCGACATGAAAGGTACATACATACAACAAAAAACATTAAGAGCTCAATTTCAATTTCATTATGAAGTTACTTTTTTGTTGCCAAGTCCTTTTTATTAATACTTTCCCGCCGGTTTAGGTATTCTCATTTCTTTTATTTTATTTTCTGGTTTTTGTAGGCGACACGTTTCGAGTTCTTTGTGTTTACTACTTTCTTGTAACTGACTGACTTATCAGCGCACTTTGTTATTTTTGCTCCACTTTCAACCACACCCTAACTGTTTTAATAATATCTGCATTTACTTATTTACATAAGAATGTCTGTGTTTTGTGGCAGTAGTTCCTCCCCGTTAAGTACGTAGGTAGCTGTCCTATAGTGAAATCTAAAGCTTGCTTTTGACATTAAGGAATAAGTGCTGAATTTCGTCAAGATATCAACTTAAACCATTTCCAATCGTGCCTGTTCTACGCCCAAGAGCAACCAAGCTTTAACGAAAGGCTTAGATATATTATCCCGCTGATTGCCTATAGATCTGTGCCGGTTCAAACTAGTGATGACTGATCAAACCTTACAACCTTTTTGTACTAGTTTACAACTAGTCTCTAATAGCTTTTGTATGACTGTACGCATTTCATTGGCTTTGCGTGAAGTAAATAAAACAACAAAAGCCCCTACCAAGCAAATTGTATTAGTTGCGTTTTTTTACTCATTTCCAGTAAAATCCAGTAAAAGTTTTTACGAATTTTCATGTTTTGGCGTTTTCGTACGCAAAAACTTGCAAAGTAGGGGAAATTGAGAGAGCGAAAAATGACAGCTGAAGTTGCAAGTTTTTACTGGATTTTACTGGATAAATTTTTACTTGTAAGAATTTGCCAGTACGAAAAACAGCTGATCGCATGTTGCTGGATGAAATTTAAACTAATAAGGAAACTGTTTGTGGATTTTTATTGTGGAAATTTTCAAAACAAACATATTTAAATATAAAATATATCGTTTTATTGGGAATATGCTGCGAATAAACAACCAATTTATCAGCTGTTCATGAAACTTGCAAATTATTACTGGAAAAGCGTTCGCGTACTTTTTTGCAAATTTTTTCTATGAGAGCGAATTCTTAGAAATAAAGTTACTGGAGAGTTATTGGCAAGTTACTGGATAATTTGTAAAAAAACACAACTATTGTTGTGTAAATTTTATATACAATTAAGTATGGTGCTAATGTATGAGTTTTCTTTCGTCGATGGCATATCTACTTGATTGTGCCACTTGCAGGCGAATGTTGCTTTTCTTCTGGCGGAGGACAATCATACAAGCACCTCCTTTCTACTATTTACATATGTACATTAGACTGCCTCTCCAAAAAAAGTTGCAGCTTTTTCCGGGGGGATCACAAAATTTATTATATTTATTTGAAGACTTACACCAAAATATTTAGGAAAAATCTTAAGATTTACGTGAGCTGGACCGATTTGAAAATACCTAAAAAAAAGTCTTTAATGAATAGAAATATTTTGGCGCAAGTCTTAAAATATAATACATTTTATAATCCCTTTGGAAAAACAGTACCGATTTTTTATTTATTTTTTTTTTTTGTATAAGGAGTGAATCAGTCTAATGTACATATGTACATACATAGATAGATACTCAAGTTTGAGCATACATAAATAAATGCATGTATAGCTTCGTGTAACAACAAAACTCATCAGCATAAGCTGTAAAAGCTTTTCACGTTATAATGTGGCGGCCGGAAAGGTTGTTTGAGCCTAATGTATTGACGTCAACTCGACTCGGCAGAAAAAATCGATAAATTTGTTTTTATCCTGCAGCTAACAAATGTCCTTAAGTACCTCTATATAGGCGGAAATATAATATTGTTGCAAAAACATGAAGCATAGAGCATAATAAATGAAATGAATGTAGTTAGTTGGAGGAAATCGTCAAGTATATGTACGAGTATGTATGTATGTATGTATTTAGAAACCGACAAAGCACTAATGTGGTAAAGGTTAAAACTAATTAGGTGGTCTATTTTAAGACTGCCTAT